AATCCTATTATTGGCTACAGGGGAAGATCACACAATTAGAGGGATGCAGCAGCATTTCTAATACTCTTGCCATTACATAAGGTGGTACTCTCTTATCCATTATTTTTCAATAAACCTATTAGAAATTATTTGTTTATTATTAATATAGCACTTACTTTTTAAAAGGCACTGCGTAAAGCAATGGGATTATAGGCATAGCTCCCCTCATGGAGCTGACAACCTAGCAGGGAGATGAATAATAACCATATAGTGTAATGAGTGCTATTAACAGAAGTTAATATAGAGATATTTGGGGAGTATATAGAATGTGCATTTTAACCCAGACTGAGGCAAAGGAAGGATGAGAACAGGCAAGGCTTCCTGGAGCTGATATCTATCCTGAATTTTTTTTTTTCCTTTTTGTCTTTTTTCATGACCGGCAACGGATCGCAACCCTCAGTGTCGCGCCCGTACAGGGCCGGGACCAGCCACAGGATCGCAACCCTCGGTGTTGCTCCCGCCCCTCGCTCAGCCAGTGAGCGGCCGGTCTGTATGTGGGATCCGAACCCTCGGCGGGAGCGCCACCGTGCTTCCCAATTGGCGCACTATAGCAGTGCGCCACCGGGCCGGCCGACCTATCCTGAATTTGAAGAAATTATTCTTTCATAGCTAAGTACTCATTCACGGATCCAAAAGAATATCTGATCTCTGCTGGTATGAATCATTAATAAAACTATTTCTTTAGATTTAAATGATTTGAGGTTTTAAATACCAATACCTTTTTGTAAAGAATAGCAAAATCTTATAGCAACCCCAAAGACTAGTGATGCTACTAATATAAAAATCTCTGAATAGAAAGATCAAATTCTGGGGCCGGCCCGGTGGTGCACTGCTACAGTGCGCCGCTTGAGAGCGTGGTGGCGCTCCCGCCGATGGTTTGGATCCCACATACAGACCGGTTCCCGCTCACTGGCTGAGCGAGGTGCGGGCGCAGCACCGAGGGTTGCGATCCCGTTGCCGGTCCCGGCCCGGTACGGGCGCAACACTGAGGGTTGCGATCCGTTGCCGGACACAAAAAAAAGACAAAAAGGAAGAAAGAAAAAAAAAAAAAAAGAAAGATCAAATTCTAATTTCTTTTTTCTGTGTCATCTCTTTCATGTTCTTCTCTGTACCCACCCAGGTACAGCAACTCACCATGAAGTTCACCTAATCTCCTAAAGTACCTTGTACATACTTCATGTTATACATTAGCTCTATGTGTGCCGTGCCTACTAGATTATGAGTGTTTTGAGGGTTAGAATTGTGTCTTGTTCTACTTTTCATCCTCAGTGCATAGCACCATTCCTGGTTCATATTATATATTCAGTAACTGTTTACACAATGAATAAACATGAAGGACTATATACCATTTTAAAGATGTTTTTTAGTCACTTCCAGAAGTGATTTGCAGGATCTCCTTGTTTGCTATTACTATCTGTTTTTATCTCTTTCATGTACAGGCATATCCTACTATTTCTATCAGGATAACTGGTGAAATGGATATTTAAGAAATTATACTCTCTACCACTCTTAAGACTACCAAGGGCTTTCTGCCTACTGCTTTAAGAATGGCCCTGAAATCCAACCAGACATGGTGACCAGTAAGACTATACAGAATTTTCCAAGAAAGAAACCCACACTTAGACATACAATACTGAAATTATAAGCAACATTTTTAGATGGATTTGAATGCATACATTTATTTGATAAATGCTTATTGAGTTTCATTCTTAGAATTTTTTAAAGTGCCATCTTTAATGAGACAAATAAAATGAATAAATCCTGCCAGGAGATCATAACTCAGTAGAGGGGAAGACAGGCACTTATCATTACTGCTGAAATTTGATGTCTCAGTTCATATTTGGAATGTTCCAAGATCAATGTAGAAATTATTCCAATGCATTTTATACAGATATGGGTTGGTCAGTCTAAGTATTCAACTTAGAAAGTTTTTAGAAGTAAAAAATCCAAATCATCAGTATCACAGAGGTTATGACATTCTATTGAAATCTGTTTCTTTTTTTATTCTAGTTTGTTACAGAAATCAGGAAATTTAATTAATAGCAAGTGACATATACATTCGGGTAACTTTACCAAAGCATTCATTTATCTTCTACAAACACAAGAGATTCACAATAAATTGTGACTGGAAGACTAATATTTCTACAGGCTTAATCAGAGTATTCCTTAAGTAAAAGTATATTTGCTTGGCAAGCCCCTTCCCATCTTGAACATCAATGTCCCCAACTATAAAATCAGGTAGTAGTCCTAGAAAACCACTAAGGAAGTATCCAGGCTAAATAGCTGACAGGTCTAGAATTCTCTAAATTTATGTGACTAGCCTAAACTAGGATAGCCAGATATGGCATCAGACAAGCTATCCACCAGGAATTTATTTCCCAACTGTTACATGTATCATGAAGAAATCACAGTTGAAAGGAAACCCATAGCAACAATCTTACTTGTGATGCCTAGAAATCTTTTGTGTATTTCCATATATTAATATGTCCCATTTCAGTTCTGCAAATGATGGGATAACAACTTTTGATATGTAGCCAACAGATCAATAAATAATAGTGCAAGCAGTCTTCTATTAAATTGAGAGTGAAAGTTTGAGGTGTTACTCAAAGTTAAAAGGATCGAATGGATGATGCAATCAAATTTCATGATAGATACCTTTGGATAAAGGTAGTGTAATAATCCAAGAAAGAGCATACAGCAGTAAACCCAATTAGACAATATTATTTAGACAAATCTATGCTAGGTGGTAAGAAAATAGTGGTAAAACTAAACACTTTCTTGGGGCAATAAACCAGTCCAATTAATTAATTCTCTTACAAGTTGATATATCAAAGGAAATCCATTTTTACTCTTTCGGGAATATGCCATTCCAGTGAATTTTCATCTTGTGTTTGGTATTTTCCCATTTGCCTTAGTAGTAATAATGATGAAACTATACATCAAAATTATCTATGTAATTTTATGTTACTTTAATATAGAAAAATGTAATACCGTAACTTAAAACAGTTTTTAATTTGTAATACAGACAGAATTAGATTTTGAATAAGGATGCCAAATATCCTAAATTTCAGAAATCATTCCATTCTCTTTCTCCCCATTGCCCAGTTTGTGGTTCTTATAATGCTTACTAAATTGAATTCCTAGATATTTCTATTTTCAGTCTTTAATGTCACATCTTTTAAAGTTCATGTTAGTAACTTAATAATGGGATACTACATTTTAAAAAATGTAGATTGAAATATCCTATCATACTTCATAGTTGGTCCTGCAATTCATTGAGAAATAGCTCTAAAGCCTTAAACAAGGCCTTTATTTGCTGTTTTTAAAAAGTGTCATAAGGAGTTAATAGGACACAGCTGTACTGGCTCTTTCTAATAAGCAGCTTCTGTCGCTTTGGTCACCACAGGTGTCTCTGTAACCTGCAAACTCTTATTACTAGTGTATCAAAGTTGTGCTACTTAACAGACTTCTTTAGTAAAACATAACAAAGCAATTACATGGCTGTTGATTGCCAGTCATTAAAAAAAAACCCTCAAACACTGTTTTTCAAAAGAAACTACACTGCAATTTTTTGTCATTGTAAAATAAAAGGAACTAAGGAATTAAATGGAGGATAGAACAAAATAACAGCAGGTAGCCTGCTGAACTTAGCCACTACAGATGGTTTAGAAATAGTGTTTCCTTCTCCATCAAGTTGTGGATAAAAGAAAAGGAGGAGATTCCTTACTGCCAGTGAATGGCAAAAGATTTAGCCAAATCTCCAGTCTATGTATTTTGCCTCATGAAAGACCTTCGATGCTGCATTTTTATCTGTTTTTGGCACTGCTTTTCATCACCTATCACTGAATGTGAATAATAACCTGATTTAATTTAAACAAATACAGGTACTAAAGGGTCTTTATTTATGTATAACAGGGAACATTTCCAAGGCAGAACGAAGTCATCCTATGAAATTCCCTAACCATTTGCTTAAAGAAATGAAGTATTAGATGAAGAAATTGCTTCAACATTCTTTTGCCTCACGTTTAAGGGAAGAATCATCTTTCTGTTCAGAGTCAGATTACATAAAACAAAGTCTGAATAATGACCAAAAATTCAGTAAGCCATAAAATAATAAAAAGACAATCAGATGATTTCTAATTGTTCTATAATCACTTAAAATTAGGTAACTATAATAGGCTTGCCTTGAAATGAATTAGTTTAATCTCCCTGTTCATAAGCCAGCAGCCTGTGATTATGATTTTGTTAACACACCCAAAGTAGCATCATGGGATGTTATGACCACATGTGTAATTAAACACGATGAAATATAGTTCAGATGGGAAACTCAAAGAGGCAAAATATGAAGAATTACCCATCACTTAAACATATTATGATTAACAAACTAAGCAAACTTATCCTGACAGCGAAGAAAGAAATTTTTTTTTCTATTGAAAATATGGATTCATTGCTGGCTGTGTGCAAAAGAATGTGTGCAATAAAGCAATTACATCAATTACCATATGCTAGATTTAAGCTATTACCAACTCGACAGGTCCAGAACGTTCTGCCTTCTAACTTTAATAATAAATCATTAAAAAATAAACTTAATATTTGGATTATATATTAGACTTGCTTTGCCTTTTCTGAACATCACTAAAAAAACAATGATTTTCTCTATATGCTCAACAACATATTAGGATGTACTAATTCTGTTTTATTGCAAAAAAGATGAGAAAAATGTATTTTTGTTTTTGGGTCATTCTTGAATCTAAGAAGAGTACCTTTATAAATGAAGGTACACCTTCACAATTATAAATAACTGCATGTGTTAGCTACCAATAACTTTCATCTAATGAAATGCAATGGTAGAAAATTTAATGCTAATGATGAAAATGATTATGATGATGAGAAACCAAACACAATGATGACATTTTTTTTAAAGAGAAGCCCAACTTATAACTTGCAAACAACAGTATTACCTTGCTCTGTTGGTGTCCTTTGTCAAATCCCAAGCCCAGGTTATAAAATTTTGACTCAGATAAGAAACAATGGATTCAGCACAAAGCATTTGTGAGCAGAACACGTTGGTTAGAACACTTTCATCATGGTGGAGGTAGATAGCAAGAAGCTTTCTCTGAAAAGAGGAGAAAAGACTGATCAATTAAAATATCCACCAAAGCAGAGAGGCATAATCAGTCTATATGAGCAGCAAAGACAAAGATTAAATTCTTTTCCCTAAAAGAGTACCTTACATTTGGAGTTCCTAAAGCATCTATTCATATGAGTAAATTGTGCCTCCTCACACTCTAAAGAGGCTAGGATGATTGTATCTAGTTTTACAGACTGCTGTTGCAGATTTCTGTTAACGTGTGCGAGCGTATTTCAAACAGAAATTACAACAGAATTGCATTTTCCTTAAATAAAATGTATTTACCATTCTTTACATCTAATATACACACTTTATACGTAAAGAAAAATATTAACTTTGAACTACTAAACTATACAGAGAAAAAAATACTTATTCAGATTGAATGGCAAAATCCCTCTTACATAATTTTTATGTTTTTAATCTGAACACTGAATAGTCTCATTTACATTCTGAAAGGAAAAGGCTTCAAATAAAGTTTTGTTTTATTTCCACAGGTAATTTCAAAGTCCTTAATGTATTCCCATATTAAAGTCTTTAAGAGCATGTAACATCCAATTGCCACTTGAAAAGATGATAGAGAAATATTCAGTTCACATGAATTCTTTCTAGTTTATATTTCAGAAAATGTCCATGTTGTTACTCATATGGAAAATTATTCTTTCCCTTTTGCTATCACAAAACTTGCCTTCAGAAAAATGACATTTGCTCTCTTTAAAGTGTCCTCTGTCATACTTAGATATTCATAAATAACCGAAACTAAAAACTGAAATTGAACAACATAATTTGCAACATATCAGCTTCAAGAACAGTGAAAGAGCCAAAACTGCTGTCGACTAACTTTTTGGTGATACCTTATAGAAGATCTGAGTTTAAGAATAACCACAATTACCAGGAAAAGGAAAGATAAAATTTATGGTAAAAACAACATACAAACCAACCTGCAAAATTCTGCCAAAGGAAAATTTCAAGGAAGCTTAGAATCTTTCCCTTCATATTAAACAAGGATGTGATGATAGTAAATAAAAATTTACTATATGGAATTCTAAAGGATACTTACATAAAAATATAACGGTTATGCTGATGAAAGACTAATAAAGTCTGATGCTTGGAATTATCCTGATGAAGAACCCAAATTATAATAACAAAAAAGTAATCATTAAAATATTTTCTTCAAAGGTCAATTTTGAACTAGCTGAGGGTAACCAGAGGTAGATAGATAAATTAAGTTTCCAAAAGCATCTACTATGAATACGAGATCCTGTTAGTTACTTTCACAACTATTATCTACTTTAATCTCCGGAATAATCCTGCAAAATAGATACTCTTAACCTCATTTGCACATGAGGACTGAGGTTTAGAAAGCTAACTTGTCCCAAACTCCACAGCTAGTTAGTAAGTAAACAGCTGGATTGGAACCCAGATTGTCTGACTCCAAATCTGCTGCTCTGTCACTGATACCACAGTGGTAGCAGGGAAATCAACTGCAAGTCAAAGCTTGTGGGAGAACTCATACCATAGGAAGATGACAGACTGCTTGTAACATCAGTGCTTCCGGGCTTCAGAGACAGCATGTAATGAGAATAAGGACAGGACTCCTCGGTATAAGTAGCTCAGCTGATCCTACCCTGCTTCAATTCATTTATTCATTCACTCAACAAGCATTTGTTAAAATACTCTTTACGCCAGGCCCAGCAGGAAGCACAGGAGATAAAATGGTGAACAAGACTCAGGGTTTCCTCATCTACATTGATGTCTGCAGATAACAGTAGCAGGCTTCTAGAAAGTTTGTAATCAGATACATTGTTGGAGAGATACTTATCTAGTAAATTCCTACTCATCCTTTAAGGCTCAAAGCAAATGCCTCAGTGAAACCTTCCCTGATTCCCTCAAGCAGAGTTAAGCTATCCTGGGCCTCTATCTCCTTCTGTTAGAAGTATACAGTAATTGTTTACCAGTTTCCCCTCTAAGTCTCTCAAGGGTGAGGACTGGGTCTCTTTGAGTCTTCTTTGCATCTTTAAACTAGCATAGGTTCCAGCCTATTTGATGAAACAAACTTGAATGCTGATATCAACCACGGTGCCCAGGTAAAAAAAGACACCCAAATGGTAGCGGCAATGCTAAATTAGTTTTAGTAAATCAGAAATCTGCTGCTTTATGGAAAGGAAAGGGAACCTGGCAGCACTAACAAATTCAGAGCTCCTCTTCTTAGGAGCTCTCTTGCTGAATAGTCAGAAGGATGTCAACCTCTAATTTGGCTTGACTGTATCTCAGCAACTACATTTAATGAGACACTGGGAACAAGAGAGCTGTCCACTTTTAAATCAGGATATTTCTAATCAAACAATGGCAATGGCTAAATCTCTAAAGTGCCTATTTCTCTCAAGAACAGTGCAATGGAACACTTAGACTTTGGGAAAGAGATTAGTGATTTATATCGCGATCTCACTGATTTAATTTAACTGCTCTTCCAAACCAAACACACATGTGTTGAAGAGGCTACTAAGAAATCCAACATGCAGAGATCCCTATAAGTGCAGCTGACAGTGTTGACTGAAACTAAACTTGGAAATCCAGGGCACTAATGCACAATATCAAGCAATAAGACAGCATCTCTTTGGCAATATTTAATTTAAAAAAGAAGAAAGAGGTAGGGGAAGATCAGGCACTGTCTGTTTTGGAGGATCAACCATTCTGCATTTCAAAGCTTTGGTCCCTGCAATATCCAGGTTACTGTGCTAGAATCTCAACTATTATATGGCAGTTGTGAGAGGGAGGGCAAAGATGTGTTTACTCAGTGATTAGGCCCTTAGAATAAGCCCCTAGCTCCTAGAGAGACAGCTCACCACTTATTCATTTGGGCCAATTCACAAAGCCTAGGAAGATTAAACATCCATGCTGAGAAGACAAGCGAATGCAGACGGTGAAAAAGAAATAAAAATTCTTTAAAAACTCTGAGATGACTTCATTATTTTTCCACAAGGAAACTTTAGGAAAGTGTTTAGTTAGAGAAAAACCCACATTGACCTCTCTCTAAACCCTTAATCTTTCCTTTGTGGTGGCACTGCTTTGTGGTAAGCGACTGGCTTGCCTTGCCCCTCTTTTCACTGGAAGCTGAGAGAAAAAAGGCTCTGGAGAAACAGTTTTCGTTCCAGGGACACAAACCCCCTGACACTGTTAAACATGAGATGCCAGGAAAACACACTTAAAAAAAAAAATTCTCACTTTAAGCTCTAAATTGGATGTGAGAAAGGAGATAATAAAAAGAGTATCAGAAGTTCTTCAGGCTAGGGGTACTCCCATAGTAGCTTTCAAAAGGGAAACTGAATAATCTTTAAAATAATCTTTTCTCTCTGGCATAATAAGCTTTCAAAAATATTTTCTTTTCCTACTATGACAGTGAATAAGCAAAATATAAAGACTCTTAATATGCAAATGCTACTAAGTTTGGGCTCATAAATCTATGATTAAATTATAGGCACAGACGAACTCCAGACTCAGATTTCTGATTATCTTATTGGCTTAACTAAGCACAGGCCAAAACAGTGAGAACTAAGTTCAGCATATCAACGAATCTGGGAGAGTTGAAATGGTAAAGTAATCAGAAAACTGCTTTTTTAAAGAAAGGGCATTCAGAACACAGAAAAAGCATAAGAAAATGTTTTGTTTTCCATTACTATAACCAGTTTTTCCTTTGGCCCATTAATAATTTAGTTCAGTAACATTTACAGAGAGCATATGTGTTAGGCACTGAGAATATAAAGATGAAGAAAACAAAGTTCCCTTGCCCTCAGAGTTGGGGTTCAGGCAGCGGCAGGAATGTGGGGAAGCAAACATTTACTGTAGTACCAGATAACAAGTGATAATATTAAGGTATATAAAAGAATATATTTTACCTGCCCTTTCTAATTTGGCAGACAGGGTCTAAGTCTGGTAGACCACAAAGGACAGCAACTCAGCTACACTATCCTCAAGACGCCCCACTTTGTGATTTAGGTTTTGATAACAGAGTAAAGTCTCCAAGTTTTAAATAGAAAGCTCTGTTCTAAACCCAGTTCTGCCAGTTTCCAGCTGTGAGATCATGGAGGAAGATGGGTTGTTCTAAGGATTGTGGATAAAGCAGGTTAAGCACCTATTTACAATACCTGGGAGATAGTAGGTGCTGAATGAAAGGTAGCTGTTAGGATGAAGGTTTCTGAACTATCTATGCAAAATAAAGGATTTTGAAAGCAATTTCAAGAGAAATGATAATTATGAAAATGTATTAGACTAAGCAGCTCCTTATTTTTCTTACTGGCAATAGTGTCTGGGATGCTTATTGTGTCCCCCGTCTTCAGTGCCTCACTAATCTTCACATTCAAATACAGGAGCTAAGGTACTGAGTTGATGATGCTTAGGAAATGCCGAGCTGACAGCAACCAATGTGACTTAGCCTTGAGCTACAGTAGCTATTGTACTTAGACACTTAGTAACATAGAACCATAGAACATTAGAGCTGGAAGAAATGAGCTATGTCTCAAAATAAGCTGTTTCCTTTTTCTGTCATCATTATTGTCACCATAATAACAAGAATCACTGTCACCTTTTGTTTTTGTTTTAAGTTTGGGGATGGCTTATTGATACAACTGATACAAAAAACACCCATTTTTCCTTTACCTAGATTTACCAACTATTAACATTTTGCAATATTTGCTTTATTATTCTTTGTATGCTTCTTTCCCTGAATCGTTAGAAAGTTACAGACAGCATGACTCTCCCACCCTTAATACTTCAGTATCTGTCTCCTGACACCACCACATTCCCTTACATAACCATCATATCTTTATCACACTCATGATATTTGATATTATTACGATACTATCATCTAATATAGAGTCCGCATTCAAATTTCCCCCAAGTGCCCCAAAATGTCCTCTGCAGCTGTTTTACTTATTGTTTTAAATCTAGGATCTAATTTGGGTTATTCCAGTATACTGCCCACTTCCACA